GCATCGAGCGCATAAACTGTAAAGTGCCATTCAGCTTAATATTTGTATGGTTTACATAATACTGTAATTACATCTATTGTTTCAGGGCCACCCTGGAGAGGGCGGTGAGCCTGGTTTTAGCTGGGGCTGGATGGCTGTACGGGACAGGGGTCGCCAGGTAGTCGATGGTATTCTGGTTTTGGTGGTCTCCATGGCAACCGGCGAGTAAAACTCCCTCATCAGATATTTCTTTATTGCGATATTTGAAATAATATGTCTTTCAATGTCTATCTTAAGCCTTTCGACAAAACTTAAAGTGGACCTATCATGCTATATTTGAATAATATATTGTAGGGCCATACCTATATAAAACATGTCTGTGAAGTTTTTTTCAAAATACCAAACAGATCATGCATTTTAGCCATGCCTCATTTCGCTCTATTTGCTCTATTCCAGCCCTGTCTTCACAAGGGCTGATTCTGTGGCAAATGAGCTGCAGCTGACCACGCCCCCCTGCAATGGAGGGGGGCGAGGCACGAGCGTCATGTTACCATGCTGTTACCATGCTGTTACCATGCTGTTACCATGCCACGCAACCTCTCATTCCCCTGATAGGTGGAGAGTTGCCCATTTAGGCGGAGCACCCCGTTTCTGACGTCAGAACAATTTCAAATCTGTATCAGTCTGTATCAGATCCGTTGCAGCCCCGTTTCTAGAGATTTGGGTATGGAGGAAAAGAGAGAGGGTTGTGTTTTCTGACACTTGGTGGGTTCCCTGACACACCGGGGACACATATTCAGGTATAAAAGACGTACACAAGTGCATTTTGTATGATAGGTCCCCTTTAAGGTTCACTAAAGTTATGCAGAAAATCAAATGGCTAGAATATGAAAAATCTCCAGAAGTTATATCCTGCTTTAATGGTTGTGAAGCACACAATTTACCTTCAATACCCACGTTCAGATTCCCTGGCAAAGCATACATTTGTGTCACATTAAAATTGCACATACGTAGATGAATATGGTTGTGAAGGTCTCGTGGTGGTTGGACATGAGGAAAAGAGGCCCGAGTTTGTGCCCTGTCTCCCATCAGCAGTTAGCTTTTTAAATGTTTAAATCACAGTGATATTTTCCTAAGAAACTGCAGTTCACTTTAACAGATGCAGATTTTGTAGTAATAATTAATTGAAGACCTGAATTTTGACAAACGTTCTCACTGAACATAATTCAAGGTTTGGACACATTATCCTGTATTAACTTCCCAGTGATTTTTTTAAACTAAGTATTAACAACGAATGCTGTGTATGTAATTTTAACCCTCCTGGCTGTTGCTTGTAATGTGTCTACTGTTAACATGTATTGTGTTTTCTTATTAGGGTTTACATGGACACAAAGGCATTAAAGGAGAACCTGTCTATGGGGCTGGACATCCGGTAAATTCCATTAGTTTTGAGAAGCTCCTATAATAACAAACTGGGCTTCACAAGTTTCAAAACACATTTCTGTTTCAGCAGTTTCACAAGTGTTTGCAATGTACACTGTCTGTTCATCATTCTCAAGTGTATTTTGTGTTATCCTACAGGGGGAGCATGGTAGAGATGGACAACGTGGTCTGGACGTATGTTAGGTTTTCTTATTTTGACAGTAATTCAGTATTCCCCTTGTAATATTCTAAACGAAGAATCCTCCAAGCCCTTCTTTGCTAAGAAATTAGGCAGGAATACTTTCAATTTCCCAATCGGCTTATAGTTCAACTGACTCTACTTCATGTTTACTTTCCTTAACATTGCATTGTTGTTTCTAAATCAGGGAAGAAAAGGAGACATTGGACCTAGTGGACACACTGGCCGTCGTGGCGATAATGGATATGAGGTGAACATAAGTTTTGTGAAGGTTGTACTAAAGAACATTATATTACTAAACATGCATGGTAAGCAGAAATATGTAATGACCGTTAAGGTTCATGATTTAATTTACAAAGATAAATGCACAGGTAAAATAATGTATATGTGTGATTCCATTTAGGGTTTGGATGGACTAAACGGTGTGAGAGGACCACCAGTGAGTCACCTTTTTCCCAATATTTCCCAATACTTGCTCTTAAAGAAAGAAACGTACACGTGCATGAACACACATCCATTACAGTTTTCTATACTTTTGATTGTTGTGTAGGGTGACAACGGAGGATCTCTGGCAGGAGCTGAAGGTGACTCTGTAAGAAACCATTTTGGCCTTTCAAAGCTATGCACCAAGGTTTTGTGATGTGAGTGTGTTTGTGCGTGTGTGTGTGTGTGTGTGTGTGTGTGTGTGTGTGTGTGTGTGTGTGTGTGTGTGTGTGTGTGTGTGTGTGTGTGTGTGTGTGTGTGTGTGTGTGTGTGTGTGTGTGTGTGCTTACAACACCAGTAATCATCTTCACCACTTGATATTCCAGGGGGAACAAGGCCCACCTGGCCCACCTGGCCCGGACGGAGAAGAAGAATCCAAACAATTTCCTCTAGAAATTCTTCCAGCCAAAGGTTACAAGGTGACATCAAAGCTCTTATTTGTGATTTTACAAGGCTAATGAATTGTAACTACTGCATAGATGTGTATAAAGACAAATATTTTCTTCTTCTCTTCAGGGAGAGCAAGGTCCTTCTGGACCATGTGGACCAAAGGGCATAAGAGTGAGTTAAAATGTCAGCATACACTTGTCTCACAGAAAGAGAAAGTTGTTTTATTTTCATTTTTGTTTCTTATCAGGGCGGTATAGGAGACTACAGCATTCAAGGAATGAAAGGAGAGCAAGGAATCCCCGGTTTTCCTGGATTGAGGGTGTGTGACTCAAATCACACTGCAATATGCTTTTAGACAACACATATAATATTCACTCCATTGTTTTCATCTGTAGGGTCTTTCAGGATTGCCTGCTAGAGATGGACTTCCCGGACCTGAGGTAAATCTTTAATAGGTGGACTAACCCTTCCCTATGTTAGTATTTTTTTGCAATTTCTAGGTTAAATACATTGATACATACTTTCAGGGTGTCCATGGAGAGAAAGGATTTCCAGGACTCATTGGAAGGAATGGAACAAAGGTAAGCGTTCGATAAACATTAAAGAGATTTGCATTACAATTTGAACACTATTAAAACATCTTATGTTAGGTGCAAACAGTAGCCAATGTTTTGTAAAATGTATATTCATATATTAAACATCTACTCCGAGGGTAAAGTCTGATATTGACAGGAATCTATTTTTTATTTTAGCAGTATCTCTGTGATACTTTTGTTCCACTTACAATTAAAAGTGTTCTTCAAATATAGGAACAGAGTAAAGAAGAACTGTGGCCCTCTGGTGGTCACTTAGTTTCACATTTGCACCATATTATCTACAGTACATCAGTGGCATTTTCTGTTTATAACTATGGTTTCTGTCTTTGTCTTTGCATCCAACAGGGTAACCAAGGAGATCCAGGTCGCCCAGGTCACCCAGGTCTCCTGCAATTGCCCAATGGAAGTGATGCCAGAGGTGAGACGACAGCTGAAGCTACACTCTTCATACTGATTGAACTATTTTTGGGCAATAGAAGCACTGTCTTATTAGATGCCTTTTATTTGAAATATGAATAGGAAGTTATTTATTGAATTAAAGGCCAATAGTTAACAACCTTAGTCTTTCTGATTTGACCAATATGAGTTCAGCATATTGGCAAAACAATGTTCACACTGTCACTGTAGATGCAAGTGGAATGCATCGAGTATACCCCCTTAAACTATACTTTGAAACACTCATCCTCATCATGTAGTCAAATTGAATTATGTCAGTAACAATATATATTTTTCAAAAGCATCCTAGTCGTTTCTGCTGTAACAATGTACATTTCCCCTCTGTGGGACTGTGGGATTCTGAAACTGCGTAAGACTGAATATAACTATCAGAAACAAGGTGTATATACAAACAGTTTCAAATATGAGACAATAACAAACAAAATATTTAGGACAGTAATTAAGCCTTACTGACTTTTTCATGGTTCTGTGTTTGCACGGCTTAGGTGTTAAAGGTGACAATGGGAGTCCTGGATTAGCTGGACACCCAGGTGACCCTGGGCATATGGGCATGCATGGACCTCCTGGCCCACCAGGGTTAACAATACCAGGTCAGAGTTGGTTTCTCACTTTCCAGTTACTGCTGACTTATCACGGAGTATATCCCGACAGTTAAAAACTCAGTCAGTCAGTGTTGATGCTACCTTATTGTCAGTTTCACATCATCTTTCACACCCTACTAGAAGTGCCTGGGCTGCCTGGTCAACGAGGGATCCTCGGTCCCAAGGGGTACAAGGGAGAGCCAGGAAGGTATAGCAACTATGATAATCCATATCCGGGACCAAAGGGAGTTAAAGGACTCCTCGGGCATAAAGGTGTCACAGGCTCCCCGGGGCCTCCAGGTATATCATTACTTTGTTTATGTTAAACACACTATGTGTAAGTAAATAAACGTGTAACTTAACTTTACAAATGTATGTCATTATTTGTTGAGCTAGGTTTTTGATGTTTTATTTTGAAAATGTACTTACCTTTTCTGTGTGTGTGTGTGTGTGTGTGTGTGTGTGTGTGTGTGTGTGTGTGTGTGTGTGTGTGTGTGTGTGTGTGTGTGTGTGTGTGTGTGTGTGTGTGGCATTCTTGAACAGGATGTGGAGGTGAGTTCTCTATTACCTCTGATTGAAAAAAAGTCCATAATTGTTTGCGTTTGAAATGCTTCCTTAAGTTTTTAACTTCATTGATTGATTGTTGATATACAGATTACTACTGTGAGCCTGGTTACCCAGGGGACCCAGGTGATCCAGGCCATTATGGCCCCGGTGGAAACAAAGGACTCAAAGGAATTAAAGGTGATCTCTGACTCTTTATTGATTCTACAAGCAGATTGTTATTCTCCCCGCCTACTGACCTCTGGTAGAAACAAGAATGTTATAGAATTCAGTAGATATAACAGTACATAATATGCAAACACTGCATCTTAGTCATACATTGTGTCCCTCTGTCTTCTAAAGGTTGTCTAGGGGAATGTAACTGTAGGTCTGGAGGAGTAGGAAGAGAAGGTCCCAACGGCCCAACTGGTTTTCCAGGTTATCCAGGGATTCCTGGAACTCAAGGACTTAAGGGAGACCCTGGGCTAAAAGGACATGACAGTCCAAGAGGACCAGAAGTAAGGACAGTAGGACAAACAAACTAACTCATAATTAAAGTGTAGTGTGTAGTTTTGTATTTGACTATGTTTTTCTGCAGGGCTTTCCAGGTATTCCTGGTATTAAAGGACACAAGGGTCAAAAAGGTCAATCTTTTGTGTTAGACGTTAAAGGTGAGAAACTGTCCTATACACAATATTATTGGATGAGCAAAGTGAATACGTACTTTAAATGCTTGGCAACATCGGCAACATCTATGTCAACAGTAGCTTGAAATAAAAGTTGGTTGGATTTGTCTTTTGATAACATTGATTGATATACATACCTATACCAGGTGTTGTTAAGAATTGATAGCCTACATTGTAATATCCTTTTATTGTTGTTGTTGACAGTTGCCAAGGGTGACCTGGGAGACCCTGGCCATTCTGGTCCTCCTGGAGCATCAGGTGGATCAGGAAGGGATGCCCCCCCTGGCCCTGCAGGGGACCCTGGAACACCAGTGAGTGTGCACCTTTTTAAGTGCTGTACATTATTATTTCTGAACTAGAACATTATTTTCAATTTGCTACGCTCGGTTTTGGTTGTGCAGTTATGGTTTTGGGTAACATTTTTACAGGGTGCTGGATTTGCAGTGTTACCTGGTCCCAAAGGGTACCCTGGTGCTGCTGGACCCAAAGGGTTTCACGGTCCTATTGGCCCGCCCGGTCCTGGTTTTCCAGGCCCTAAGGGGCTCCATGGACCTAAGGGTTATCAGGGAAGTCATGGCCTCTCAGGAATTCCTGGACGACCAGGCCCTCCAGGTCAGATACCTGATTTCAGAGATTCTCCGTTGGTGTTAATGAACCCCTTCAGCAGGTGTCAGGGACTCAACAAGTATGTTGCATTTGTGTCCCAAGGTGAAAATGGGTTATGCTGTCATGATTATGAGATTGGACTACCGGGTCCTGATGGTGAACCAGGATCACCGGGTAAGTCTTACAGTTGTTCCACATACCATCATTGATTAAAAAACATTGTCAATTCAAAAATCACATCTTTCTGTCAAAAGCAGTTGCTATATTGTTTGTTGACAAGTCACATGTCATTAAAAGAAATGGCTTAGGACCCTTGCAACGTTTGTGGTCCATGTTGCGAGGCACATTTTCTTTGGCTCTTTGTAGGTATTCCAGGTGAGCCAGGAAGAGTTGGTCTTACAGGAACTCTGGGACACCCAGGCCCGAAAGGCATGAAAGGAGATGACACTATTACTGGTGGGATTGGACGGATAGGTAACAACTCTCTAAAATGTCAAATTAGATTCATACACAATTTTATAGAGATTGTTCTTCATTGGAGAGCCCCTGTTTAAAGTTTTGCATCCACACTGCAGACAAAAATCAGGCAATGATTGACTATAAAGTTAGAGTGGGTGATTTGTGCGCTAATACTGTAGGTCTCTATTTTTTATAGGACTTCAAGGTTTAGATGGGGATCCAGGTGAACCTGGTTCCAGCGTAATTAGCCTGGTTGGCCCTCCAGGCACTCCTGGGTTTCGCGGGCATCCAGGCAGGAAAGGTGAGCCAGGAGATGTTTTCTCTGCCAGGCCATATGATACTGGACCACCTGGCCTCCCTGGGCTTCTGGGGAAGAAAGGACTACGGGGCATTCCTGGAATCCCAGGGCCTCCAGGTAAGTTGTATCTCTATTTAGGTAAACACAAACAAACCACAGAACAATGTAGGCTTCAGTTAATTTGGCCTATTTCACTCAAAAAGAGTACAGTGTTACAGTGTACTTCCCATTCTAAACTGTGCACTGGAGTTGGTTGGTTCAATGTTGATGCCTCGTAATTACAGGGGAACAAGGCCTGCCTGCATCACCTGGTTGGAAAGGAGAGCCAGGATCCAGTGGTGACCCTGGGGCCACTGGTCCCCGAGGTCCACCTTGCACTGCATTTGAACTGAATGGACCTCCAGGCCCTCCAGGCCCTACAGGAGACACTGGACAGAGGGGGATACCAGGTGATCACACAGCAGCAGCAATCATCATTTTGTTTCTCTGTCTCTCTGGGTGTCCATCTTTATGTCCCCTAGAAATGTCAAACTTATATTAATTGTACATTCATGAATGACTAGTTGTGAAGCCACCATCTAACCATCCATTAAAACATTCTCTCTTTGAATTGTAAAATGTTGCATAGGCTTCCCTGGTCAGAAGGGTTTGGAGGGAGACATAGGTCCACCTGGTCATGGACTGAGGGGTCCAAAAGGTTTCCCTGGCCTTCCTGGATTGTCAGTGGTTGGACCAACAGGCCCTCATGGCCTCTCAGGAGAGCCTGGGGCTGACGGCTGGCCAGGACAGAAAGGTGAACCACTGATCTACAATGATAGGATGGTTTTGGAGAAATCACTGTGTCTTTAATCATTTCAAAATCTGACAGGCTTTTCGTACATTGTCTACACCATCCACACATACACAGTTGTACCTGTGCCTATGTACACACTACCTCCAGACACCAAAAGTATAACCAACATCTGATCCCCACATTACCATCATCACACTCCAAGTCGGAGCTGTTAAAGTATGTCACTGACCAAATATAGATTTCTTCCCCCGAATACAATAACAAAAACTTCTTCATTAAAACCCAATCCACATTTTTTCAGCAATATTTTTTATCTAGAAAATAGTCCGTCCTTATTATGAATTAAATTATGCTTTCCTTTCAATTCATCTAGGGGAAAGTGGGTACCCAGGCAAGCCTGTGTCCATAGGTTTTCCAGGCCTTCCTGGACCTGCTGGGGCCAGTGGTAAACAAGGAGAGAGAGGCTTTACCGGTCACACAGGGGACCCTGGATACCCAGGACAGCCTGGTAATAAAGGTAAGTTTCCATTTGACAATCATAGCTTCTTATAGATATATTTATTGGCATTTTGTTATAACTCTGTTGTCTGTCCAGGTGTACGTGGTTTACCAGGATTACCAGGACCATCGATTCTGAATGTAATAAAGGGCCAACCAGGACTTTCTGGAAGTGAGGGGCAAAAAGGAGAACAAGGACCTGAAGGCAAGGAAGCTTACATCTAACTTATACATCTTTTGTAAACATTAAGAAGATGATTCCTTGAAGTCCAGGTTGATCAATTAAAAAGACTTACTTAAGATTGTGTTAAACAGTATAGGACTACGACAATATTAGTTTGTCTGTGCTAACAGGCTCAAAGGGCCCGAGGGGACCACCAGGGGATTCGGGGTCAGATGGATTGCCTAGTTCTCCAGGGTTTAGAGGCAGCACCGGTGCTCCAGGTAGAGCAGGAAGAACAGGGTCTCCAGGATCCCCTGGAATCAAAGGGTTCCCTGGTCCAAGGGGATATGCTGGACACCTTGGAGATACGGTACACAAAACAAATACATTTTTCTCTTAATCATTTTTGGAAACAGCTGTCTTTATTCAGTTTTTTCTTTAAATATATCCAGAATATACTCAAATAAAATGAAAAATGTCAGCAGCACATCATTTCTAATAATTCTATCCTGCAACGCACACCCACTGTGAACAAGTTTTTCCTATTTTGTTTTTTATTAAGTTATGTTTAATTACCTGTAGAACACATACAATATAAGTGGTTCAACATATCATAATTCATTGTAAGTCAGTCTCTGAAGTGATGTGATTTTGAATGCATGTGTTTATGTCTTTTAAAGGGATATCAAGGGCCTTTTGGACCATCGGGTATCTCAGGGTTACCAGGGTTTCCAGGTGCCAAAGGTGAGTCAAAAGATAATGATTCAACTGAATCAACATTGGAATGGATCATTAGTATTTTTCCACTTTGATCAGAAATGTTGTAGTATATTGCTATAAAAATTGCAGATGCAGTTAAGTATTTAAAACTCTGAAGCCCAATACAATCCCAGGATGTCTTACCTTATCTCAAATCTGTTCCAGGTGACCCAGGACTCTCTTATGGACAACCTGGTCCACCTGGACTCAAAGGGATGCGAGGGGATGATGGACAGAGTGGTGAGTACAGAAAATACCACACGCTGGTGGGCAGCAAGGATGCCCCCAGTGTGTGGCATTGCCCTTTCACTATCTTTTACAGTTTTTAGTTTCCTAGAATATATTATACTCTAAGTGGAGGTATAACTTTAATTAAATGTATATCCACACAATAATTCCCTTGAGTGCCCAGAGGGATTCCAGGAGATCCAGGAGACCCAGGACCCCGGGGAAGGTCAGGACAACAAGGACCACCCGGCATTAATGCGGAGCAGGGAAGAATAGGAGGACCAGGTAATTTATGTCAGAGAATGTTACGTGTGTGTGTGTGTGTGTGTGTGTGTGTGTGTGTGTGTGTGTGTGTGTGTGTGTGTGTGTGTGTGTGTGTGTGTGTGTGTGTATAAACATATTACAATTTTGTCAATTAAATTATAATCCTAATGTTGCCATAGTGCATCTTTATGTCAGCTGTGTGTGTGTGTGTGTGTGTGTGTGTGTGTGTGTGTGTGTGTGTGTGTGTGTGTCTTATCTTCTATTGTATTGATTTTGTGTAATTGCTGTTTTTGTAAATAAAAACTGTATTTTGTATGTTTTTGGAGGCGCACCTGGCAACTTTAACACAATCCAATCAGCCAATTAGGTGGCAGCAAATTATGCTTTTGGCACATTAACCAGCAGTTGACAGGTGTACCTGAAACATTGGGTGTGAGTGTAATGTACTCCTTGAGGGTAGAAATTAAGGAACACTGCTTATTTTCGACCTTAAAGTAAGGAATGCTATATGATGGTTGGGACGTTTTTATGTGTGTGTCTCAGGCTTCCCCGGGCCTCGTGGCTCTTCAGGTCGTCCAGGTATTCCAGGTCTGCCAGGCGATCATGGAGGTCTGGGACCACCTGGCCCACCTGGCCCATATGGGTATCCAGGTACTAACATTGTTTTTTAACATGGGATGGGCAGGGTACAGGCAATGTAAGCGTTATTTGTGTTGGCTTATATTGGCACAATTCATATATAATCACTTTGCTTTATTTCAGTGTGATTGGGGTTCTAAGATTTGCATGCCAAAAACCTAATAAGAGTATTCTTTTGTTTTACTGCCATTTTATATAAGGGACCCCTGGACCACCAGGTCTTGATGGACTGGATGGGCTTAGAGGTCCAAAAGGGATACAAGGCGAGAGTGGTAAGAATGAGTTTCATCATAACTTTAAATATAGTAAAGCAATCATTTCTTTGTATTTATTTTATCTGTTGGTATACTTTTTTGGGCATGTAGTATATAGTACAGACAATGAATTGTTAAAGCATAATTTCAGCTATGCCATATACCTTTTTCTTTTTCATTCATACCCCAACCCCAGCCCTTATCACCACTACCAATACCTCCCGTTTCAAGTGTTTAGAAAACCTACAAGAGTCTTATAGGTGCAGACACACCACTTAAAGCTGCTACTTCAAATTAAACATGGAAGGCCCTCTCTAGAACGTACCATGTAGCAGAGCCCTTCATATTTGAATATACAGATAAGCTAAAAAAAAACAAAGCAATTATACACTGTTGAGAACACAACAATCCTTTAATAATGTCCTTGTTTATTGCCTCAAGCCATAGGTTTCCCTGGCCCTCCTGGACCAGATGGTCTTCTTGGAGTCAAAGGTGTCAGGGGACAGCAAGGGTCTCCAGGAGCCAGTTTTCCTGGGCCTAAAGGCCAGAGAGGCCCGTCTGGCTTCACAGGTATCAAATATCTATTTATACTAATACATCATCTACTGCATGTCTGCATCTGCTTATGATAGTGGTGGGAAATGAACTGTAGGAGACAAACATTGTTGTTAGCACTTTCTGGCACTATATTTGCTTTTTGTTGAATGTATTTACTGTCCCATTCCTCTATACAATACACTTTTCTCTGTTTGTTCCCTCAGGTATTCCAGGCTCCCCAGGTGAACTTGGGAACCCTGGCATAGAGTGCTTAAGGCCTCCACCAGGACCCTACGGGGACATAGGATATAAAGGACCCCCAGGACCCCCTGGTGTGTTTCTGTGTACCTATTTATATCTGTCCATTTGTTTATCTTTGTCTCCATTTTTGTGTGGCTCCATTTGGGAATGAACATTGTTAGGAGGTTTATGTTTAAGTGTAGGTGTACCTCTCTTTTTGTCTTTAATTTGGCTGTTGTGTTGCGTTTTTAGGCCCTCCTGGGGAGCCGGGCCTTCCAGGCAGCATCATTCACTCCAAAGGAGACCCAGGTCCAACCGGCCTCCCTGGGTTACCAGGCCGCAAGGGCGATCGTGGCCCCTCAGGGCCTCCTGGGTCACAGGGCTACCCAGGGGTTACAGGGCCAATAGGTATACTAGGTGCATTGCTGCTGCCATCAGTATTTACTGTGTTGCCATCCACTTAAATGCACTCAAAATGGTGCTGCACTTTGACAGGTGAGAGAGGACCTGCTAGTCTCGAAGGTCCTCCAGGCCCCAAGGGTCAGACCGGGGTCCCTGGGCCTTGGGGACGGAAGGGAGCAACTGGCCCAACCGGGGCAACAGGTAAGTGGCAACTAAATGGCAAAGAGGTATGCCATTATTTCTATGCCCACACAATCTGGTGAAGACATCTGTTAAATGTGAGTGTGTGTGTGCGTTTATGTTTCAATGACTGACGGTATTTAAGTTACATTAAAAAGTTGTAAGATTCTTTACATATTGTGTTTTACCTTTATTCGTTTAGAAATATGTATTATTTATTAAACACTAGTGAGTGTTGTGGTGTTTGTTACAGTAGTACATCTGGTAATCAATGTTTTTTGTTTTTTTTCCGAGGTGCCAAAGGTGCTCCTGGTGGGACTATCAGAATCGACCAAGGTGGAACTCCATCTGGACTCCTGGGACCGCGTGGATTCCCAGGATTTGTGGGATATCCCGGTGATGAAGGTCCTCCTGGGACGCCAGGACGTAAAGGCAAGAATGTCTAATATAATCTTAATGTATAATTCATGTTTACATATTATGGTCTGAATAACTCTGTGTTGTGTGTGTTTATCCTCATTTGTCTGTATGTGTCTGTATGCGCTTCAGGACTGAAGGGTCCTGTAGGGTATGTTGGCCTCCTTGGCAAACCAGGTCCTGCTGGTCGTGATGGTCCTGTTGGAGACCCAGGAGATGTTGGTCAGCAAGGATTTACTGGACCTCAAGGTAAATTATAAGATGCAGCAATTTAGAACTGTCCCAAATTAAAGGTTTGAAGTGTCATTTATAGTGTTGACATACAATGTGCTGATGACTGCCAGTCTCCTTCTGAAGATCTGAAAAAGTTATAAAAATGACATATCAAAATTACTTCCTCCAATAAATAGCAAATGTAATCGCTGCCTAACGCCTATCCACCTTCCATGTCACTAACTTGCTGCTTGTTAAACTGCTCCAGGTATCCCAGGTACACCCGGTGATCAAGGTAATCCAGGCCATAGAGGGGCGCTGAGGTCAGGCTACCTTTTGGTTGTCCACAGTCAGTCAGTTCAGGTGCCACGGTGCCCTGAAGGCAGCAGCCCGCTTTGGGTCGGCTACAGTCTGGTCTACTTGGAGGGGCAAGAGAAGGCTCACACTCAAGACCTGGGTAAGTGTCTGCATAAAGTGATAGTTTTGCTGGAAAAATGCATCAGTAGTCATTATTTGCCTCTTTTATTCTCTGTCTCTCTTCTTAACATATTCTTTCTGTAGGCCAGGCTGGCTCCTGTCTCCGTGTTTTCTCCACCATGCCTTTCTCCTACTGCAACAAAGCTGCCTGCGACTACTCCAGTCGCAACGACAAATCCTATTGGCTCTCCACCACCGCTCCCATACCCATGATGCCCCTCTTCGGCCAGGAGATTAGCTCCCACATCAGTCGCTGTGCGGTGTGTGAGACTATTGCGCCTGCAGTGGCTTTTCACAGCCAGGATCACAACGTCCCCTCATGCCCACGTGGCTGGAGGAGCCTGTGGACGGGATACTCTTTCCTCCATGTGAGTGTGACAATTTGTTAAAGGTCACCTATTATGCAAAATCCACTTTTTCATGGCCAAAATCTGATCAGCTTGAAAATGAGCTGATCAGATTTTGGCCACTTTATGATGTCATAACGATGTTTTGGCTTGTGTAATCATTAGCCAATAACCAACCAAGTTAACCCCTCCCCCCCACACACACCTTATCACCTGAATCTCCTCCCAAAGCTACAATAGGCACTTTCACACCAAGAACTTTGCAGGACTTAGTTCTTACAGAACTCAGTCATCAGAACCTCTTAAATCTAACGGGGGCGCGTTTGCAATCCGCCCAGACCACTCAGAAATGGGACACCTCTCTCTTTTCCCATGAAAGTTACGCTGCCTCTAGCAGGGCACGAAAAGGGGGTGAAAAGGTCTCCATGACTAAGTATCTAGTTCCCTTTTTTTTTGGTCTGAAATTTTCGGAACTATACTGGGAAAAGTACTCCGGTGTGAAAGCGCCTATTGTGTTATTTTTAACCAAACATCTCTCAGAGGGGCGTGGGGAGTGGCTCCTTATTTTCATCTAAAGTAAAAGACAGAGAATCAGCACTTTTGAAACAGGGCTGAAACAGAGGGGTTTTTGGGATGCTACAATGCATGATCTGTTTGGTATTTCCAGCCAAACACTTCAGAGACATGTTTTGTATATATATGAGACCTATAATAGATTGATGAAAAACGTTATAATAGGGGACCTTTAAGTGTGTGTTTGTGGAAGAAAATACTATCAATGTACCTACTGTGTACCTGCTTCCCTTTTCTCTTCAGCACACAGGGGCCGGTGATGAGGGTGGTGGCCAGTCTCTTTCTTCCTCTGGCAGCTGCCTTAAGGATTTCCGAACTCACCCCTTCATAGAGTGCCAGGGTGCGCGCGGGTCCTGTCACTACTTTGCCAACCTCTACAGTTTTTGGCTGACTACTGTTAGTCCAACAGAACAGTTTATCACCCAGAGGCCTGGCACCATCAAGGCGGCGGACCAACAGCGGCGCAAGTCCAGTCAGTGTCACGTCTGCCTCAGAGCAGAGTAAAGGAATTCTTCACTTTAACATTAATAATACAAACCATTTCACTGTCAAAATAAAATACTGATTACAATTGAGACTTTTAGATAGATTTCTATTTGATTAATTCTAGTTACAAATAATCCGTAATTGTATCTGTATATTTTTTTATATGTTGTTGCTGTAAATGTATTCATTTATTTTTATTTTAGGAGGTGCTATTTCTAATGATGAAAATGTTTGATACTGCTGATTTAACTGATATTTTGTGTTGGGAAAATACTGAGTGTACTCTTCCAATATCAGAGTAGCACATGATAACAAAGGCCCAACTGTAGCTGTGTACATAACAGGATGTATGATTACCTGGAAGAGCGTCAGGACACACTGTTTTAGGCATATGATAGCTATGTGACAACGATTAACATGATGATTCAGCCTCTATGGAAACAAGAATGATCATTTCTGACGTGGGTCTTAGCTAATCTAAAACTAAACATTGTATACTGCTTTGAACCGGTATTCCTGCACTGTAACAGCCTCTCTTGTATATAAGCATCTATGTGATGACTACTTCCATTCTTGCAAGGATAATAAATACATGTATCCTGATATTGAAGCTCAAGTCGGTGACGAGTGATATTTTTTCAAACATTTTGCAATAATCCACTTTAGATTAGTCATTTAGGATAAATATTCTGAAGACTTTTCTTCATCATATAAAATGTGCTCCCTTATTAAATATTTAAAAAAAGTGTCGACACGAATCATTCAGAGTTCAATAGCTTTCGAGAATTGGAGAACACAACCACAACATACGCAAAAATCCCAGGATGGGAGATGATTTATAATTTGAACAGGATACAGAATTCCAAAACTAGGATAAGATTTAGGAGGTATGGATAAATTATATTTGAGGACATATAGTGACAAATTGTCCAGGTTTGTAGATTGTATACAGTATAACTTATTTGTAAATCTTTTATATGTAATTCCTGTTACTTTATTCCTTTTCTGTCATTATTTTAAGGAGGTGTTATTCTTATGATAGAAATGCTTGATCCTGCTGCTGTACTTTAATATTTTTCAAACACTCCACCTTAGACAAGTCATTCTGAAGACCTTTCCTTCATCATCTAAAATGTGCTCCTGGATTCAATATTTCAAAAAAGTTTTTCACACTACAGCACAAGTCATTCAGAGTTCGATAGCTTTCAAAAATCCGGTAAAGACAACAACGTTCATGCAAAAGTCCCAAGATGGGATAAAATGAATAATTTTAACAGGAAACAGATTTCCATAGCGGGTTTCAAGTTCATATTTATTTATTTCTCTCAACAGAACCCAAGTGACAATCAGAATACAGTACTTTTTTCCTCAAACATGTTTTTTCCTTTTCTTTTTTATTACGTAAAACAAGAGAACACTCAGTGCAATAAGACAGAGGACTCTGACAGTGCGGTGCTCTCTCTACCTTTTCACAGTGCACGTTTATACACACAAAAAGATTGTACATCATCATTATTACATTTCCAACCTCCACCCACCAACATCATGGATGGGGCAAAGTGAATGTCTTAAAACAATCATTTTTAAAGATTCCACTTGCATACAGTGTAGCTTGGCACACAGACACAAACACACACAGCTCTCTCCCTCTCTCCCTCTCTCTCTCTCTCACACACACACACACACACACACACACACACACACACACACACACACACACACACACACACGCACACAGGTACAACACAGAGGGACCTCTGCAGCTTTGATTCGCACCAGTGAGGGGGTACTGCACTTGCACTCTGAGGGCTAGCTCATTTGTCAAACCCACACTATTTTGGCAATGTCGACATTGCATTTAATATGCTAACAAGAACCAATTTGGGTGATGTAAGTAGGAGGTTGAGGTAGAGGGAGAGAACAGGGGGAGAGGGAAATGTATGTTATCAGCCTGATTAAATGTGATGGAATATGATGGGTAGTGCAGATTGTATTTCGTTTTTTACAAAGCCTCAACGATTTGTAGGCCGGTGTGCAACCCCTGTCTGCTTGACTGGGTAGAGCTGTTGCCATGTTATAGGTCCTTAAACGACTCGATCTCTAAAACGGTTGCCAGCCAATTGAATTGGGAATATTGTCAGCGACAACCAATCACAGATGACTACGTGTCACTCCCAGCCAATAAATTAAAAACTTAACATGGCACAGCTATCGTTAACATTTTCAAAAATATATATATAAGCATAATCTTGAAAGTTATTTCTTAAGCAAGTGCATATGGCTATTATAATCTGCAGTAAAATGAAGAACTGTTCTAAAAGCTCAGGTGTTGATTGTACTGGGCTGGTCGTTGGCATCAAGTATTTACACTGTGTCATGGTGCTCGCAGTGTGCATGGCAAAGTAAAGGGCGCTAGTACTCGCCAGCTATTGCCCCAAACCCTTTTTCAAAAAAACAACCGTCCAAAGTGCAACCACACCAATATCTCGCTTTAACAGGCTTTGGCTGGTTTCGGAAATTATACTGTTAATAATGTATGTTCTAATTTACTACCTCCCCAAACCACCCTCATAGCGTATCTTAGAAAAACAGCACTTTATCTGTCCTCTACAACATGCCAGCCAACAGGTTTTCATATAAAACGATTCAACCGCTTTGAAAGGCTCTGATGTTTAGTGACCACACAGCTTCTTACTGTAATATACAAACTGAAGCACACAAAGTTTCCTGTTTCTGTTCTAGGACCAACTGTTGTACATTCTAGAACAAAGTGTACTGCACCAGGTATGGAGGGTGCTGGAATCTAAAGCACGTTGACGTTAACTCCTCAACTTACAATACAACAGTGAAAATGTAAAGTATATATAGACAGAGTTGAATAGTCCATTTAGTTTTGTGCTTTGGAGCACTAAAGAAAGAGTTGGGCATAAGAAAATTATGCTACTACAGTACAAGTATTGATAGATTATGCTTTCAAATGTAAAATAACCAAAACAAAAATAACAAAAAACAAACATTAGATTGCATCTACATCTACTTTACATAATTTAAGATGCTTTTTTAATCCCCATCTCATTTAGAAAATATCTATTCATCAAATATCTATTCTACTAATTATATTACAAGAATCCAGTCACAGGAAATAGAAAAATAGCAAATATCACCAGTGATGATAAGAAAACATGACAACCTGAACGAGCAGAAATATTGCTATGGTAACCACCATTGTCCTTTGACATCAGCGAGTCTCACCCCGGGTGCTCTTATTGGCTGTCCTGATGCCCCTGAAGAGTCAGCACAGCCCAGGGGAAAGAGGGTAATAGGGGGTTGTGTGGCAGGGAGGTCTGAGTGTTACTGTCAGATGGCCGTGTCCCAGAATACGGTTTTCTGTGTGGGGTAAGGGGGAGGACGGATCTTCTTGGCCCCGCTGCTCTTCCCCCAGCCTGGGGGGACAGATGCATTTTGCTGCTTGCACTGGCTCTTCTCCTGGGGCTTGTCCTCGCTCCTGTCCGCAGGAGGAGGCCTCTCCAGAGATCTCTGCAGGTGTGGGTGTTGTTTGGAGCGGATCTCCATGCAGAGGGTGCGTTTCCTCTCAATCTGCTCTAGCATGGTGCTGTCTCCACAGATCCATGGCATCTGGGGCATCTGATGGGCAGAGAAAATGTGTCGAGTAAAGCAAATACAGCTTGACCTCAAAGTTAGTTGCACAATTTAAACCTCCTAAGAAAGGCTCTTCGGTTTTTCGTTATTCATGACTAAAGACACAATGAAAAGCTTAATATACTATTTGTTTTTAGTAGTTTGATCAGATATGGTGTTTCTTTTCTATGGGTTAATTTGTTAGGGCCTTTTTCCTTTTGACACAATGTACAATTGGGAGAAGGGATATGAAATGCATGACATATCAAAAAGCGGGAATCAAGCTCTGAACAATGCGGTCAAACAAACCAAAGGCGCTGCTTTGATTTAAATGTAGCACACAAGGACATGATAACACTGAGCACAGAGAAAATAAGAAATACAGCAATATGGAGAATTCGCCAACTGTATTAACTTTTGTGTTCATATACTATAGGACTGATTGAGGGAACATGTTTTCAGGGCCTGTCCAAGGCCACAAAATACAAGTAAATAAAAACAATCAAATCTGCATACCTGACTCTGATGTGCCTCTGCTGCTTTCCTCTGTGGAGTTCCCATTGGGGAGGGGTTAGCAGGCATAGAAGGTGAGCGGCAATACTTAGGTACTGCTTTCAGATCTGCATAGGGAGGGAGAATCACACATTTGGTCATATGTAATAAAAATGTTATGATAAATTTGACGTTATTTTATGAATATGATGTTTTAACCCTCACCATTTCCTGTTCCCGTGGGCATTGGTGGGCTACCAGAGGGTCTCCCGTGGTGAGTAGGTGTCGTTGTGGATGAGTGCTGCCCTGACATTGTGCTGCCGTTCCTCTCTTGTGCTTTTGATTGGTCCGTGCTGTAGTTTGATCTGTTCTCTCGTCTGGGCGTGCCATCTGATCTGTGTCCTTGCTCTTTACTGTCGCACTGTCCCTTGGCAGAAGGGCTCTTTTTGACATCGTAATGATGCTGCTCTGAGCCATTTGGACTTCTGTCTTTGCTGTCCCGTCTCACTTCCAGACCAGTTCTGCTCAGATCCTTACTGTCCTGCCTGGGCAGAAGAGGAGGGGGGAGATCTCCCCCGTTGTGGCAGCTCCGATCTCTCCCATCATGCTTAGCTTCAGAGGGGAATCCAACCCTGTCCTTGCTGTTGCTGCTTCTGGATGTTTCTTGTCGGGGTAGGATCTCAGGCGGCTGATCTATTCTACCTTCATGTCTATGTTCAATTTCATTTCTTGCTCTCTCTTTGAATTCCTGTGGGGGTAACAAATCAGGACGGTGGTCTTTGCTTTCATGCCTATATTCTGCTGCAGTTCTAGCTCTGTCTTTGATCTCTTGTCGAGGGAGAAGCTCAGGCGGCTTGTCTCTGCTTTCATGCTTTGAGTCCACCCCGTTCCTGTCTCTCTCTTTGCTATCCTGTCGTGGTAAGAGCTCAGGCGGCTGATCCAGCAGTCTCTCTCTGCTTTCATGTCTACCGTCCACACCGTTTCTTGACCTTTCCTTGCTCTCTTGTTTTGGTAACAGCTCAGGGGGCTGATCGAGCAGTCTGTCCTTGCTGTCCTGTCTCATCAAAGACTCCATCGCGTGTCCCCCACCCCGATCTTTACTGTCTCTCCTCAGCATTAGGTCACCATTGCTGAGCCCTCGGTCCTTGGAGTCCCTTCTTATCAGAGGGATGGGCTCCACACTGCTGCAGCCCTGGTCCCTGCTGTCCCTGCGGCCCGGTGGCGCCTCTGAACCGCTATACGTACGGTCTTTACTGTTGCGTCTGGGGGGAAGGGGCTCTGCATTGCTGCTCCCTCTGTCTCTTTCTTTGTCTCTGTCTTTTTGTCTGTCTTTGTCTCTGTCTTTTTGTCTGTCTTTGTCTCTGTCTTTCTGTCTGTCTTTATCTCTGTCTTTGTCTTTTCGTCTGTCTTTATCTCTGTCTTTGTCACTGTCTTTTTGTCTTTCTTTATCTCTGTCTTTGTCCCGGTCTTTGTCTCTGTCTTTTTCCCGGTCTTTCCGGTGAGAAGACTCTTTGCTGTGGCGATCCTTGGACTCTCGTTTGGACTCCTTGCTGTGGCTGTGGCGCTCCTTGCCCTCGCGCTTGGACTCGCTGTGAGATTTGCTTTTGGACTCAGCTGTAAAACAACAAGGACAAATAGTTTAGAAGAAGACAAACATTTAGTTGATTGGGACATTCAAGCTTATTCTTCCGTAGTTAATTATGCATTACAAATAAATACATATAATGGATTGCTTAAATATAAATAGTCAATTGTACAAAGAAATACAAAATAATGCTGTGTTTTTGTTCCAATTTCTGCAATACCATCATTCGTCCTCTAGGTGTCACTCACTACTCACTGAGGCAGTGGGAGTAAATCACTGGAGTTAGATGATTCAATATGTGCGCTAACAGGCATTAGAACTGTATTTGTTGTGGTATATATTAATTCACACTATCACACACACTTTTTGCAGTTCAATAAGCTAAAATAACAAATGTTTCTTATTTTTTCACTGTAGCTTTTGTTTTACCCTAAAATCTACGACAGTACCAAAAAAAAACCTTTGTTAACAATACAACATATATTCTTAAACATTAACATGTGCCACATGATGTTTTGATTACCATCCACATCTGTTTTGTCTGTTGTCTATAGAGTACATACAACAATAAACACTGGAACTGTATGTATGTCACTGATTCAAGGCACACTAAAGGCATTATAGATCATCACTGCGCAAATAAAAAAATGTATTTGCATGGTTGATTTCCATGTAGACTATGCTTATGGTTTCTATGGGCTTTAACATAAGTAGCATGCATAGGCATTCCTTATCATGTCCATCCCTTGTCAAGTTATCTGTCATACATGTGTGCATGCATGTGTGTACACTATGAGAGAGAGTGTTGCGATCAACCAGTTGGTAAGTGGGTCACTAGCTGTTGCTGCCTTTATCGCCTCGGATAGTGAGAGAAAAAAAAATCAACCTCCATATATTGTGTTAGGTGTGTGTGCTCATTACGCTGAGTGTGATTGCAGCCAGTCACAGAGCCACACACACAACCTGTCAGTCCTTTAGCCCCATGTGGCGCTTGTACACAGGTGTTGGGATGAAAAAAACCAGAAAGACGTGTCGGCACATCCCACCCTTGATACATAGAAAGCATATGTAACCTGTTTACAATCCAAATGGGGCTAAAGAACAAAATACTGTTAAAGGTTTCACTGGTCACTTCCTAGTGCCTGAATGCATCCCTTGACCATATAACCATAATTTAATGTGAGCCAGTAATTGGAAAGATCTAGTATAATCGAGAGATTAAACAGCAAATGTGCACCAGTTGTCACACTAACTATAAGATGTATTTGTCACATGACTTCAAAAGAGCAAGAAATCATAAATTGTCAAAGCTTCTACCATCCCCATCCGCACAGCAGCCACAGCTTCCTGATTGGCTCAATCATGAGAGGAGTGTGTGTTGATTGGACAGAAAAGAGAATCTAAAATCCTCTGATCAGGTGGAGATTTGAGTTCAGAGCCGTAGCTATTCCCATCAGGAGCTCATTGCTCAGTTTCACTGTAGACCGGCATGCCCTGAGCTGTGATTGGCTGCATTACCCATGGGGAGGGAATCTGCAAATAAGAAACAGGGATTTCTCCTTCTTCCACTGTTGCTATGTTGCCATGTTCGAGTTGCTACGAGCGTTGAGTAAGGATGGATGTGTGGACTCTTTGTAGTACTTTTATGATTTATGTACAAAATGGGCTTTAATAATGTCTGTTTATGAGCATTTGATGAAGGGTTTATGTTCAATTTTTTAAAGTATGTCACACTACAGCTCAGCTATATGCCAATATGGTTATTTTATTTCAACATTCACTCAAATCATCAGATGCTCTATTTTAATTTATTAGTGACCCTTTTCAAATAATGCATGACATACCTCTACATGAACTACACTCCATGCATTAATGAAATCCCCTCTTGCTTATTTAGTTTGGCATAATGGCTGTAGTTAATCATTCAGGCTTAACATGGCTTTTTTTTTTACTAATAAAATAATGGTTTTATAATGCATGAGAATGACAACTTGAATTTGTGACTGCTTGATTATGCTGCTGGCACCGGACTCACCGTAGGGCGCCATAGATAATATGAACACGAGAACTGATTCGGAGTTTTTACACCTTTGTAAAATATCGACAACTTTTGCACTCATCATTATGAGCAAATAATGTTTGCCTTTAAAGTTGCATACCAAAGTCTTGAGTGCAGCGTGGCATCGGCTAGTGGTATTTAAACATGATGTTTACATATTTAAAAGTAATTCTGCCTGATGGCCTAATGCCATGAGTAGGTTTGAGGGACCTGCTGTCCGCTTTAGTCTCTAATCCCCTCAGATTAAATCATACGATCTGTATCAGACTTGGCTCGCTGGCCGGGCCTAGATTAAAGAGCGCCACAAACATCATACATGGTACAGTAGAAAGGGTGCATTCTCTGCATAGCCCCCTAATTTAGCAGCGTTGAATTTGTGAAGCCAAAACATGGATAAATTACACGAACAAGGGAACTCAAGACTACTTTTTTGGGTTTAATAAAGCCAAACCATCGGCTGTCCCTGTTATTGTGAGACTGCAGCTTCTCTCTAGTGTTGTAGGGTTGCATTAAGTCTCCTAACTAAGCTTCTCTCTTATGAAATGAGGATACATCCATACAGGGTAAGATTTATGAAAGGAGATGCAGTTGTCTACACTCTTCAGGAATGAAAGAGACATAAATAAATATGAGCTTGTGCCCTTTGCTTCACTAAACCCCAAATTGAGGACACAAATGTGTGAAATGACTCACTCTCTCCAGGCTCTTTAGACTTCCTGCCACTGGCGTTTTTCTTCAGCATGTTCCTCCCAGTTGTGAACAGGTTGGTAAGTTCGTCCAGTGGGCTGGTGGGGGTCCGTGATCGCCCTGTCGACACATTCTGCATAGAGCCATGGAGTCGGCCCCCACCGTCCTGAGGTGGGGAGCCTTTGCCGTGAGGGGTGGCCGAGGCGCTCCGCGGCAGCCCCCCGGGGAATGGCATCGGAGCATCGAAGGGAGGTGTACGCATGAGGCTGAGAGGGGTGAGACAGCGGCCCATGCTGACCGGTGATGGGCAAGCAGAGTGGCTGCGCTGATAGGAGGATGAGGAGGAGGACTTGTAGAGGGTACAGGGAAGAGGAGGCGCAGAAGAGCGGCCAGAGATGGTGAGGGTCGGGGTGGCGGTGAGCTCCCTGCGGAGGTGAGCAGAGGAGGGTTGCTCGCTGGATGATGTTGGAGATTTACTGTAGGATTGGTTGTCCATCATTGGCAATTTGTTTACATCTAGAGGGGTGAGGGGGGACTCGTCTGAGTTAGGCGAGCACTGAGCCGGCGCCGGTGGGAACACCAGCAAAGGAGGCCGATGGGTGAGCAAATTGGGAAAGGGTGCAGGAATGTCACAGAGTGGAATGTTTCGAGGTGTCGAGCAGCGACTGAGAGGTTCAGGGTCATAGGGGGCCGGGGTGGGGCACGCGGAGCGGCATCCCACAGGGTCAGTGCGGTACTCCATATCATCAAGAACTGGGTACTTCATCTCCTCGTACACAGACTCCCCCGGCTCCTCGTCCTCACTCCTCAGGGGTTCTCGTGCTCCGACATCAACGCCACCCATCTCTATGTAGACAGGTTCATCTTCGCAGTCGTCTGTAGGGCTCTCGTCACTCTGCGGAGGTGACTGGCTGAGTTCATAAGGGGAGGTGACGTGGTGGAGGGCTCTGCAAACCCCACCGTGGCTCTTGATGAAGGATTCATCGAAGGAAACGCTCAGTTGCGTGTTGGGGTTCCTCTTGGGTTTGGGTGGAGGCATCCGCCTGCAGTCCTCACTGCATCCTTGAGCTCCTGAAGGATAGAGAGAAAGAAGGTTCAAACCCAAATCCACTGGAAACAATCATATTGGCAATACCGGACAACAGAAAGTACATTGTATGATTTTTGTAGCTCTGACTGATATTTTGTTGTTGTTTGAGGGGGTTTGCACAGCTTTCAATACTAAATGTGATAAAAATCCTTCTTCTTATCTTTGCAAGAATCATTGAGTGAGTCATTATCATTAATATAAGGCCAACACCAAGTTTTGTTGGTCAGATGTAGGTCAACGTGTGTAGCTGAGAGCAATATCTTGAGTCAGACTTGTGGTAATAGTTGAGGCATATGCATATTTCTAGGTCACATATACGGCACTGGAGCAGTATGTGAGTATAGTATCTGGGTCACACACACTGTGAAACTTCTTTCTGATAGTGGTGACGTACTATTGCAATGTAAATCTCTATAGATGTGGTGCAGTGAGGCTATGGTACAGTTTTCATGTCGACTAGATACTACTGTAGAATGCGGTCCTAATGCTAGTTTACTCACAGCACAAGAACTCTTACTACTGGGATGTTCACAGAGCATTTCTAGGTCAGACACTGATATATCTTCATGGGAGAGTCCCTTTCTCTGATAGGCAGGGAGAGATAAGTGTAGTTAAGAGCTGGACCATGTCTGAAATCATAAAACTGCAGATTTTACACCTTTAATAATTCAGATGCCAGATGGCCAAGACACACGCATACTTCCTGTAACTGTACTGTATGACTCACCAGCATCCATCCCTACATGCATGCAAGCACGCATACACTGCACATGCCTATACATTCAGAGAGGGAAATTAGGACAAGCATGTACTCATTTTATAATGCGCAAATTATAAAGTCAATCTTTCCCAAAGAGGAATCTATCTGTAGGTGTTTGTATTTTGATTTGCACGACATTTGATAGACGGATGTAGATACATAGCTAGACTGTTATATTGAGAGAGTTTTTTTATTTAAATTGAGAACATAACTAGAAAAGGATAGCCAATTCAAGAAAGGAATTCAAGAAAATTTAGTTGGTTTAACAAAAATGTGGATGTTGATGATTCTAATTTTATGTAAAATCGTAATTTTTTAACAATGTACTTTATGACGATTGATAGGCTGTTATTTGAAAATCCACGTGTTCTGGCATGTGTTTAATTGGACTGACATGATACTTTTATTTTGTGTACTCTCTCTCCCTTTGTTTACTCTCTCTCCCTTTTTTGTGTGAGTGTGTGCGTTCCTCTTTTGATCTACCATGTGCATTATTTCACTCATACATTTGTTGGATTTTGAGATCTGTTTGAGCACTAATGATGAATCCGTCCATACATCTCTTACTCCCGGTCTCCTCTCCTCTCTCTATTGCTCCCTCTTCTCCCCCTCCCCCTGCAGCGGAAGTGTTTACCCGCAAACCCCCCTCCCCCTCCCTCTCCTCCTGGGGAAAATGAATCTAGGTCAATCGCTCCTCCTGAATGAATTCTACTTGGACAGGCTCCTCCCCTTCCCGCTACAGCGCCAGCTACAGAGCCGCAACCCTCCCCTCAGCCAGGGACACCCCCACACTCTCACTCTGATTGGCTGCTAAGCCTCAGACTTCAGCATCTCTAGAGCCCCATTGGCTCGAGCTGCTCAGTGATTCTGTGATTGGCTGTGCTGCAGGGGGTCTTGTTTCTGTGGGATGGTTGCCGTGGTGCCCAGGAAGATCTGTGTGCACATAGAGAGATCCCCACCAATCTGAGCCAGGCTGGGCGACTCCCTTAACATCACGTTGGCAACGAAGCATCCAAAGTGAAATGGAGTCAAAGCTTCCCCTCAACCTCTAAATCTTTTTACCTACCTCAAATACTATTATTATAGGAAACATCAGTTTAATTTTGCAATGCATGTTAGTTTTCTTTGTGATCAGCACATGTGTGTTTCCTCTTTAAAATTGTTTGGCTATGTGTATTCGCTCAGCCAGTGATTGTTTGTGTGGCTCTAGGGAAACATTACTTTTTCTCAATTAATTCTGGTCCCATTCATTAAAGCTTTTCTAACATGGAACTGGTGTACAATAATTATGCCCTGCTTTCATCCATGGCCAAAAAGGCATATTGTGTTTGTTTATTTTGTTTGAAAATATTGAGTGAAATTGCTGCAGGGTGCTCCCACTCAATCTCAATCAAGGCACATCTAAATGTTGGCCTCGCTAGATTTATCTAGAAGGAAATGTTTTTTCGTTTTTATTGGTAATTTGCCTTGTTATATTTAATATTAAAGTAAGTAAGACATTTTTAAATGAGGCTTGGATCTGTCGGGATGTGTGACTTATTTACGTGCACTGATAACAGCTGTGAGAAATGGCTCTGTGATTAATACCCTCCTGTAGCCAGCCCCATGTTCAAGGGGCGAAGTTACTGGAACTTCAACCTAATACACAAAACTATATACATTTGTTTTAGGACATTACACTCAGCCAGAGAAACTAGGACAATATTAAAAGTGGATATATAACTACTGGTAGTCAAATCCACATAGATATGGCAACATTTGTTCCTTTTTAAATGTTATAATGTTTCAAATGTTAGCCTGATGACAACTTGTTGAGTCCACAGACGTTGGTTATCTATACATCAAAACGGTTATGGTTAGTGCCTCAGATGCTGTTCAGACCGCCAACCAATAACATGGACTTTGATTTAAGGTGAGCTGGACAGTCATCATGTTCATAGACTTGAAGAGCACCTGTTTTCTAACACTCCCTTTTTTTGCTTCTTTAACATCTGCCATCTACTATAACTCTTCAAAAGACTCTAAGCTGAATATGCCATGACCTTAGAGTGCAGTTTACACAACACAAAAAATGATGTGTGAGACTATATTCCCCAAAGCCCAGAGGTTTCTAGCAGTACAAGAAATTATCCAGTCATTCATATGCATCATGCTGTGATGATACTTTCACTCCGGTTTTAACTTGTTAGTAAAGGAGTCTGAATGTAATACTATCTGATTTATCTGTGTGGCAACGACACATGAACAACCTGCGTTAAAAAGGTAAAACAAAAACAAATCCATAACCTTCCAACCTTTCTTCATAGATTTTCGCAGGCACAATTGATCTGGCCTATGTTCCTAATTATTTTGTAATATATGCTCATTGTCCACCGTCATTCACACATGTTATCGAAGGGTTTTCCCTCACACAACAGGCAAACTGTGACTAATCAGCGTGGTGCAGTCCAAATCTTGTCTTAATCATTTCAGCATTCCTTTACATGCAGTTTATTTGACCGCAAGCTATGACATCCTAATTTTTGTGGAGTGCATCTTAAACGTGGTAACTGTGGTCTAACTGTAGGTCTACTTAAAGCTATTTTTTAACATGGATTTGCCTCAATGGTACTTGGAGTGAAGTATGCAGTGAAGAGCTAGATGTCATGTCATTGTAGGAGAAACTGTTGAGGAGGGCACTGCAGAGAGCAGCTATATATAGCGCAGCTGTTTGGTGTGAAGTGCCACCACCACTCACCGTCACATCGCTCCCCACGGCAGGTGGACGTGGGACTGTGGTCCACCGCCTCAGACGACATGCTCAGCTTGGTGGCCGGGTCCCTCCTGGGCTTGGGTGGGGGCTGCTTCCTAGAGGTCGGGCTCCCTACCTCCTCCTCTCCTCCGCCCCCACTGTTCCCACCGCCGACAGAGTGGAGGGACTGGGAGCGCACGGAGAAGCCCTGCCCACAGGCGAGGGCATGCGGGTGGGGCATGCGTTCCTGGGGGTCCGGCATGGTAATAGAGCCCATACGTAAGTGCTT